ACAATATTTTGCTGTATTCTAGCATGTTAGTTTCTGTTTTAAGTATGTATGTATGTATATATGTATTTATTTTGGGTTTTTCAAGACAGGGTTTCTTTGTGTAGCCCTGTCAGTCTTGGAACTCACACTGTACCAGGCTGGCCTCGAACTCACAGAGATCTGCCTGCCTCTGCCTCCCGAGGGCTGGGATTAAAGGCATGTACCACAACAGCTTGGCTATAGTTTATTTTATTATTATTCCTTTGAAGCCTGTATGTTTTCACACACACACACACACACACACACACACACACACACACACACACACACACACACAATCTTTATTCTTTGTGAATTTCACATCATGCAATCCAAATCTGCTCATTTCCCAGTCCTCCATATTCTCCCTTCACCCTTGCAGCATCCCTCCCCTATAATAAAATAAAAAAAAAACCAAACTAAACCAACCAACCAACTAAACAACCAACCACGCAAACAAAAGAGCCCACTTCTCTCTTTTGTCTCTCCCGCCTCTTCAACATCTCTTCATTCATTTGAGTGGCACTGGGTTCCCCGGTGTGTCCTGCAGTATACCCTTTGTTCAATCAGCCCCATCCGAAAATGAAAATTGTAATGAGTCATTGGTCTGGTTCAAGTCCTCTGGTTTCTGGTACACTGTCATCACTGGATCCTCACTGAAACTCCTCTCTGATATCCCACGGCTGCCCCTAGTCATGGAGATCTGCAGAACCAGTCCCTTCACATGCTCCAGCAGGTCCTAGATGGGGTTGATGTTAGGGTGGACCAATCCAAGGCCCTGGATATGGACCTGGGTGGTAGTTGAGTTGGTCAGTCCTTGATACTAAGGCTGCCCCCTCAGGTGGAGGTGGAACCAGCTCTCCTATGCCCATGGCATCACGGCCATCTCTCTCATGCCTGTGTTGAGAGGTGGGGCCAACTCTCCTAAGTATAGGGGGCCAGCTCTCCATGCCAGAGTCATTGGGGCCAGCTCTCCTGTGAGGGTTAAGGTCAGCACTCTAGCTGCAGTGTCTAGTGAGGAGCAGGGCCAGCTTTCCTAGAGACAACACAGGGCAGGTGTGGCTCAGCACTGCCCTTGCATTTCATCATACATGGCCTCCTATGGTAACATGGGCCACAGATGTCAACACAGACTCCAGTTACAGCAGGACCACAGATCCAGAGGTGGTCCTCCAGAGCATCTCGGGCCCAGATGTTACCATGTCCCATGTCTCAGCTCATGTCACTCAGAGGAGTTCAGCCCCAGCATCAAGTAGCATGGCTCTCAGACACCAGCATAGTCTGAGGTGGCTAACCAGACCCTGGGCATCTGCATGGCCCTTGGTGGCAACAGATGCCATGGACATCAACTCAGACTCTGGCTGCTGTGGGGCCATGGACCCAGAGATGGCCCTAGACTGAAGCTTGGGTCCTGACATACCACGGCCCCAGGTGGTGGCACAGGCCAACCAGAGCAGCAGCATGGCTGTGGGACACCAACATGGTCTCAGGTGGCAGACCAGAGCTAGGACAACTTCTTGCCCCTTGGTGGTAACAGGAGCCATGGATATCAACTCAGACCATGGCTGCCATAGGGACACGGACCTAGACATTGTCCTAGGCAGCTACATGGCCTGGATGTCACCAAGGCCCCGGGTAGCAGCACAGGCACTCAGATTGGCATGGCCCCAGAGGCAGCATGATCCAGGGTCACCAACACGGCCCCAGGTGACAGCCCAGACCCCAGACATATGCATGGCTTTCAATGGCAGCAGGAGCCATGGATATCAACACATAGACCCTGGCTGCAGTAAGGCCATGGACCCAGACACGACCCTTCAAGCAGCCCAGGCACAGGAATCATCACTTCCCTGGGTGACAAGCAGGCCATCTACCTCAGCCGGCTCCTCACCACCTTTGGTTCTTCTATTCCACTTCTTTCCACAGCACATGAACCATTCTGTCTCTCTTTTTCTCCCATTTCTCCACCACACATTTGCTCATTATAATGGCACCCAACCTCCATCAACTGCTTTAGGCAGCCCAGGTCTTGAGGACCCAGGATGGCCTTTGAGTGGCTTCCACCTATCTGAGCTGTTTTCTAATGACAGAATGGTAGATATGTCCAGATGGAAGGGTAAGTGAGGAGGAACTGGGAGGAGTAGGGGGAAGGGAAACCATAATCAGGATATGGTATGTGACAGAAAAATCTATTTTCATTAAAAGAAAAAAGAAAGAATTGTTGTGACCCCTCCCCAAATAAAAAGTAAACATCAGCATCAATACTTTCTGTGCCCACCTTCTCCTTAGATTCCCCATTTGCAGGGTTACTACTGAATCCCGTGCTCAAAGGATCAAGTGAGCCTGAATCAAGAAGGCTTAAGTGATCCACTGTTTCACAATTCCCATGTGTAGGCAATAGTCATCTGTGCAAACAATACTCATGACTTAGAAATGTCACCCCCCAAAAATAGAACGTGTCCTTTTGTTTAAATGGCATTTCCTGAAGAGTGTACATCTGAAGAATACTAAACCCCAGGAAGCATATGAAATTAAATAACTTGGAAATTCATGATTTTATTGTTAACATGAGTGCTGAATTTTAGTGAAGCTGGACATTGAGTACAGGTGTCACCAGATTTCCCTCTAGCTCCTGAACTAAGATTGCACTCTAGGGATAGTCGTCCCTATCGATAATGAGAAGGACCTTTTCAATACGAGGAGGTGTGCTCTGTACTACGACACGCCTCTGACTCTTCCTCTCTTCTGCTCTCCGATGGACGAACCATGTCTAAAATTAGAGGAGGACAGGATTGGAGTTAGCATTGGCTTCCACCCCAGAGCCAAGAGATAAAAACCACTTTAAGACACATAACACTGACTTTCTATTCAGCTCATAAAAGCAAATACCAGCTGTGTGTCAACTTCTGCAATAGGCCATGATTTTGTCTCTTTCCAGCAGTATAAACACTTCAGTGGTTTCTTTTCTATTGGATGGAAAGCTTAGATTACAACTTGTTCCAGTTCCTTGATATTAATTCAATATATGGTAACTGGGTAAAGGAAAGTCTTCATTCTGACATTTTTCCATCAGCTGTAGAATACCCTCCTCCCTAGTGATACATTCCTCTTGTTTGGGCAGAGATTGTGGATCACCAAATGTTAGCACATTTTAAAGGCCTAGGGATGGGAACAGCTTTCTGTTTGCAAAAGCAATCTTCAGTATGAAGTAATTAATCAACAGAAATAAGCATGAGAGATTTTTAGAAAGAAAATAGCATTCAAGGGTTCCAATGGGATAGTTGGTGCTTGAGATTTCAGGAGAGCGAACAAGTGGTGGGCAGAGAAGGCCTGGTCAATGGTTTGACATCACAGCCTCCAGTGTTTGTGAAGGTTGACAAATTTAACCTAATGACATACAGGACACTGAAACCTTTACCATCTCCAGGAGTTCAGCTGAAAGCATGACTTCCACCCATGGTAAATCTGAACAGTATATTCTTTCATGCTATAAAATGTTCTCCAGGATCAGGACGAAGAATAATATCATTGTTTCACCTATATTTCCAGAACCCTGTCCAGCACAGAGGGCACACTAGGCCCTGCTGTGTCACCAGGACATCTAAAGCCCATCTTTCTTCAAAAGGCAAAGAGTAAGATGGTCCACAACAGTGTGGGGAAAGTAGTCATAAATCAGCTCTTCCTAAATGTGGTCTAGCTATGGAAATACAGTCACCGTTACCTGTCAGATGTCACCATCCTCTCAGGCTCCTAGTGAAATGAGGGTCCATTGTATTGGGAAGTTCTCAAACTGTACATTTGTGCCTCCCTGTCCTTTCTTTCCCTGCCTATTATATGGATGTATAGTCTATAGAAGACCAACCAAAACACCAGAAGCCCTACTACCATCCTGATGCCTCCATGAACTCAAATAAAGCCCCAGTGGCTGACTCATGTTGTCTCACATTAAGTCAGATTTCCCCGTTTGATTCCTAAAGCCTATCGTTTGCGTTTGTAAGAGGAAAGAGGAAATCAGAAATGAGGCTTTTGGAAAGTCACACTCAAGAGTGTGCAAACAGGAGACCATGGGTGTTTTCTCTTGTGTCTTGTGTCCACCTTCTCTCTGTAGTTGCAGTGCACCAGTCTCTAGAGCTGTAGTGTATCATCCTCTCTAGAGCTGCAGTGCATCATCCTCTCTAGAGCTGCAGTGCACTAGTCTCTAGAGCTGGAGTGTATCATCCTCTCTAGAGCTGCACTGCATCATCCTCTCTAGAGCTGCAGTGCACCAGTCTCTAGAGCTACAGTTCATCACCCTCTTTAGAGATGCAGTGCATCATCAACTCTAGAGTTGTAGTGCATCAGTCTCTAGAGCTGCAGTGAATCAGTCTCTCTAGAGATGCAGTGTGTCAGTCTATCTAGAGATGCAGTGCATCAGCCTCTCTTGCAAAGAATAATGAGGCTACAATCGACAACCCAAGAGAAGCCAGGTAAAGAGGAGGTCCCATAGAGGGACATTCATGGATCACCCCAGGAAGGGAAAACAGATACGATCTCCTTTGTAAACTGGGTAGGGGATAGAATGGAGGGGTTAGGAGATAGGAGCATGAGGGATCTGGTTGGCCAAGTTGGAGTAGGAATGGAAAGGGAGAGCAATGAAAGAGATATCTTAAGAGAGCCATTATGGTTTAGGGAGAAACCTGGTGCTAGGGAACTCCCCAAGAACCCAATGCCTAATTCAGCCTTGATGCAGTAGGTCCTGCCCCAACTGAATGTACCAGGTTTGTTGACTCACAATGGAAACCTTACCCCCTATGAGGAGTGGATATGGGAGTTCAGGGAGGAGGTGGGGATGAGAGCAGGAGATGGGGAAGGAGGGGAACTGTGGTTGGTATGTAAAGTGAAAAGAAAACTTAAATAAAAAAAAAGTGCCTAGGACAAGGCTTCCCAAGACATGAGGAAGGCTGTAGATTGACTGTTCAATGTCTTTGCTTGGATTTACTGACCTTCACTTTGACTTCAGGAATAGTCAAAGCTTGTGCAAGTTCTTTCCTGTGGAAAGAAAACCACAAATGTTTAGCATGCCGTGTTTTACATGAACTGCAAAGTCATAAATGATTTCTATGCTTTTTTAATATTGCTATCTTCCCTCAACCCCCCCCCCCCATTTAACTTTCATTCTCAGAACTAGTCTTGCTTTTGCTATGGTTTCACCTCTTATAAAAGTTTCTAAACAAAGATTTTAATTTTAACACTCTATGAAAACTTAAAAATAAATGCCAAAGTGTATGCCGAGCAAATTGTACTAAATTAAAAAACAGCAGCAGGGGAAGGGAAAGGGAAAGCGAAAGGAGTTGATGGATAGGTACACAGTCCCTGAAAAGATGACGAGACTTCTGGTGAGGAGGTCACTCAACAAAGTGTAAATCCTTAACACTGGTGAACTTTACACTAGTGAGTATTTTGGCACACTACACTCATGTCTCTATATTTTACAGAAATTAAAATATGACTCAAAATGAGTGGTGTTAACTATGTATACTTGTTTCAGATCAACCCTACACGCTAATACTGACCTTGACCCGGACACAAGGCCCCCTCCTGTACCCACCACCAAGGGAGAAGACAGTAGTGGCTTAGGGTAGGATGATAGGAAACCAGGGCCTGGAAGAACAAAAGGACATCTCAACCTGTGACAACAGGGAGGTTGGGGATAGCTCCTGGTGCAAGACACATACCTGGCAAGCGCATCTGGGTACTGGGTTTCTTTGAACAATTTTTCCATTTCCTCGACCTGCCCCAGTGTGAACTTCAATGTGGTTCGCCGCCGCCTTCGTGATGAACGGCGCCTCGGAATCCGAATCACAGGCTCGGCTGAGGGCCTTGGCTCCTCCTGGTGAGGCTCCAAGGAAGAGGCGTTCGGGTCCCTACTGCTCTCCTCAGAGTCGTTTTGGCTCTCAGGGACCTGGCGGACCCCGTTATTTAGTTCCATTACGCAGCCTGCGTCACCTCCACTAGGGTTGCCACCCACCATGGCCAAGGCAGCCTCTAAGGTGGAGACCTCAGCTATCTCCTCACCATTCTCATTCCTCACAACGTATATATATTGCCAATGGACCTTGCGGGCCATGACTAGTAGTGGGCAGAAGCCACAGAGAGAAGTGGGGCCCCAGGAATGACGACACTCAAGGCCTATTGTTTGGTCATGTCTACTACTGATGAGGCATCAAGAGAGGCCTGAGGAAAGGGTGACGTCAACGTGTCCTTCTGCGCATGTTCCACACTTCTCCATGTTCCTCAAGGTTGACGTCAACACGCTCCTCTCCAGATGGGTGCTATAGGCTTTTCCCTCCCTGACTGACTGCTCTGGGCTTTATGACCTCTTGCTGAGATAGGTGGTATTTGCTGTGGTGCACAAAAATGTGGGTGTGGCCCAAAGATGAGGAACGAGGGAGCCACTGTGAACAGGGTTGTGAAAGGTCTTGTGAAGTTAAACCTTGCTTCCAGGGCATGCATGTAGAATGAGATTAGCTTGCTTTTGCATGCATGTGCATGCTACCTGTTCCTCCTAGGTTGTAGAGATGACACTGGAGGATGAATTGTGTAGCATTGCAAGATAATTGGGGAATAGAGTATGGGAGAAAGATGGGAACACACACTGACCACAGGACCCTTGTGAGAACATGTAGAAAATTTCTGTGAATCTCACCCTCCACCTACCATTGCTGCTCAGAGAATGGGCTTAGAACTAAGTGGACATGATCAGATTAGTGGCTGATAGTTCAAGAGTGCCTGTTAGTACATTGAGTCCTAGAACACACTCTTGTCTTCCCTAAGTTGCTTTTTCATTGTATTTTATCACAGCATAAGAGAGCAACTGAGGGGTGGAGTGACTTTGGGTGGGGGGGAGGAGTGACTGAGGAGGACTTATTGATGGGGGAAGGGATTGATTGGGGGGTGAGTGACTGATGAGGAATGGCTGATGGGGGGAGTGGCTGATGGGGGAGTGACTGGTGGGGAGTGACTGGTGGGGAGTGCTGAGACAGTTTTCAGTTGAGATTTTTTAAAATTTCCTTTAAGTTCCTAATTGTGTATGTAAGTGCATGAGCCACGTGTGTGGGTCAGAAGATAACTTGGAGGAGTTGTTTCTCTCCTTCCACTGCATCCAGGAATTGAACCCAGGCTGACAGACATTAGCAGCAAGTACCTTTACCATCGGAGTCATCTTGCTGGCCCTGACAGTACCTATTTAGACAGGTTGTTTGTTAATGGGCATTTCCTAGTGTTATATATGCTCTCATTCCCATATACTTAGGTCTTGAAAGGCATAGCTGTTTGAAGATTCAGAAATAGTAGTGTTTGGTTTAGGTCTTCTAGACACATACAACCACAAGAGCTAGTCAGCATAGCTTGATGTTAAACTTAGTAAACAATTAGATTTCAATTTTGGTGTAGTCATGTTTTTTTTTTTTTAATGTTGTTGTTCATTTTTTTGAGACAGGGTCTCGTATAGCTCAGACTGGCTTTGAATTCAGTATGTAGCAGAGCCAGACCCTGAGTTCCTGATTCCCCTCCCTTTGCCCCCTGGGTTCTGTGATTACAGATTTGCACCATCATGCCTGGGTTCAATTTTTAAATGTAATTTAAGAAAAATGCATTGTCAGTATTATTTTGTGTGGGTCTGGATGCATGTATACTCTGGCACCACGTGACAATCATAGAATAACTTTGGGTACTGGGTTCTTTCTTTACGTCTATATGTGACCCTCTGTCACACTCAGGCTATCAGGCTTGAGTCTTTACCAGCTGAGTTATCCCACTGGTTCCAGGTTTTTGTTTGTTTGTTTTTCAGGAAAGGTTTTTTTTTTTTCTCTGCAACCCTGGCAGCCCTGGAAGTCACTCGAGACCAGGTTGTCCTTGAACTCACAGAGATCTGGTTGCCTCTACCTCTTAAGCGATTAGATTAAAGGCAGGCACCACCACTGCCCAACTCCTAGGGTTTGTTTTTGTTTTTAAATGATACATTTATTTTTATTTTATGTGCATCGGTGTTTTGCCTGCATGTCTGTCTGTGTGAATGTAGATCACTTTGAGCTAGGTTACAGACAATTGTGAGCTACCATATGGGTGCTGGGAATTGAACCTGGGTCCTCTGGAAGAGCAGCCAGTGCTCTTAACACTGAGCCATCTATCCAGTCCATAGCTTTTGTTTTAATACAAAGAAATAAAGAATTTTTTTTAAAGGACTGGGGCTGTAGCTTGTGAGCAGTCGTCTGGCACAATGGAAGTTCTCTAGGTTCTGTTCTCAGTCCTGTCAGAAATTGTTAAATCATTTCCAAGTCCCAGGTTTTCTCTCCAAGAAGCACAAGGAGGACAAGAGCATTTCAGTAAACTGGTGCATAAGACATGTCCTCGGCTTTAGAGAATGTCGGTGCAACCCTGAGTTTATGAGCTCTTCCCCTCAGACTCCAAGAACAGAAGTTTATCTGCACTGTGGTAGAGTCAGTGTGTGTACTTGGAGGGCTAAAGGCCCTGTGTAAGGCTCTGTAGTCCTCAATCGTAGATGAGGGAGGGAGGGAGGGAGGGGTTAGTCGGGAGAGCCAGACAGCTGAGGCTCTATGTGATGCACTGTGGGAGTGATGCTCACAGCCACTTGGAGGTGAACTTTCTCATAGTTGTAGGAGAGAAAGACGGTCCAAGTGTGTGATCCTCCTTAGGCTGTTGTTCCAGGTTGACACTGTGAGTTTTGTTGTTGTTGTTGTTTTCTTTTTAAAGTTAGCTGCCAGGTGGTGGTGGCAGCAGTGGCACACACCTTGAATCCCCCCACTTGGGAGGCAGAGGCAGGTAGATTCCTATGAGTTCAAGGCCAGCCTGGTCAATGTAGAGAGCTCCAGAATGCACAGAGAGACATTGTCTCAAAAAAATTAACTGGCAAATTTGGGGTTATTTTTATTTGTATTTTTTAAATTTATGATGCCTATTTTCAAGATAAAACCTAATGATTTTCTGAATTTTGTTGGTATCTGTTGCAGTGGCTCTCCTTTTATCTTTAATTTTATTAATCTGAGTCTCTAATATTGTTATCATTGTCTTTTGATCAGTCTTCCTAATCATACATTTCAAAGAACCAACTTCTAGTTACATTGATTCTTTATTGTTATTTTTGTTTCCATTTAAATAATTCCTGCATGGATCTTGATTTCTTTTCATCTCCTGATTTGGGGTTTGGCTTATCCTTCATTTTTGAGGGCTCTCATATGTATCATTTATTTGCACACTCTCTGGCTTTTTTGTTGTTGTGTTTTGGGACAGGGTTTCTCTGTGTAACAGCCCTGGCTGTCTGGGAAGTCACTTTGTAGACCAGGCTGTCCTCCAACTCACAGAGATCCCTCTGCCTCTGCCTCCTGGGTGTTGGGATTAAAAGAGTGTGCCACCACCTCCGGTAGTTTCATTCCATTGTGATCAGGTAAACCACAAGGAATTGTTTTCCTGTATTTGTTGAGACTTGCTTTGTCTCAGAATATGGGATCTATTTTGAAAAAAAGTTCCATGGGAATAAAGTGTATTCTGCAGAGTTTGGATGGACTAGTCTGTAGATGTCTGTTAAGTCCATTTGATCTATAATATCATTTAATTTACATATCTCTGTTTATTTTTTGTTAGGGAGACATATCAGTTGGTGAGATTTAGGTATTAACGTCACCCGCTAGTATTGGGCTAGAGTTAATCAGGCTTGAACCTAATATTATTGTTAGGAAATCAGGTGCACTTGCTTGAGGCATACTTTTAGAATCATAAAGTCCTCTTACATTCCCTTAGTCAGTATGAAGTGACTGTCTTTATATTTTCTCACTAGTTTTGGTTGGAAGTCTGTTTCATTAGCTATTGGAACACCGGCACCTGCTTGTTTCCTAGGCCTATTTACTTGGATCTTTTTCCATTCTTTCCCCCTAGGGTGACATCTGCCTTTGTAGTGACATCTGTTTCTTGGAGGCATCAAGTAGATGTTTCCTGTCATTTGATGCAATCTGCTAGTCTGTGCCTTTTTCCAAAGATTTATTTTTATTTTCAATTGTGTGTGCCCATGCCTATATGTAGGTCTGTGCATGTGATTGCAGGTGTTCAAAGAGCCCAATGGTGTGGGAGCCCCTAGTTTGCTTGTGGAATTGAGACCATTAGTATTCAGTTATTGTTGAAAAGTGGGTGTTAATTCCTGCCATTTGTTGATTTTGTAGGTTTTTTTTTCTTTTCCCCTCTTGCTTAACTATTATCCTACTGTGGTTTATTCTTGCTGTGGATTTGTGGAGGAATTTGTTTTTGTCTTCAGTCCAAAAGATTCCTGTAAGTATTTTCTATGGAGCTAGCTTAGTGCTCATGCATTCCTTTAGTCTGTTTTTTTTTTTTTTATCATGGAAAGTATGTATTTTCCTTTCAGTTACCACAGAGAGTTTTGCTAGCTATAGTCTTCTGGGTTGGCAGTTGAGTCAGAATTGAAAGGCATCTGCCCGGGCCGCCTGGCTGTAAAGTTGCAGCCAAATATTCTGCTGCCATACTGCCAGTCTGCCCTATGGGACATGGTGTGCTGCTGAGATGCTGTCTTTGTTCTGTGTCTTTAGTGTTCTAATTGTGAGGAGGGCCAATTCTTTCCTGGTCTGTCTCTTGGTGTTCTAAGCACTTCACATCTGGATTGACCTCTCTTTTAACAGTGCTGAGAAGTTTTCTGTTATGAGTTTTTTTAAAAACATATTTTGCACCTTTAGTACTTGATTCTTCTCCTTCTTCTATGCTGTCGTCATGGATCTCTCAGGGGGTTGTGTGTCTTGGAGTCCCACTGATGCCTTCTTTGTCTTGTTTCGATTGTTCCAGCAACTTAACTGTATTGAATTTCTCAACCATGTTTACATTTTCCCAGAAAGCATTTTGTGATTAACTTTATTCTGCATGTCTTTTCCTTCTTGTTCTTTGCTTCTGATTCTTAACTATTTATTGCTGATTTAAGTTCGTATTTTCTCTGTAATTTTAGAATTGAAGCAGCATGATATAACACACTTTTTATTAGTAGTGAGCTGGTTCATTCATGTAGATTTCCTGCCCTCCCCTCCAGTGCCAGGAATTACACCCAGGCCCTTGTGTGTGCTAGGCAAAGGCTCTCCCACTGGACCCAGCCTCAGCCTATGG